GTGTTTTTATTTGAGAAAAAATATCATGTAGCATTTTAATTTTACTCAATATTAATTATTTAAAAATTATTTTTGACACAAATGACAAATGTCATCATTTAATTTGTCACTTTACACACCATTCGTGAGTGTAACCCACACACATTATATGTTTTTGATGATATTAAAAAAAGTGTCAAAATGACATAGCGGTACCCTACATGAGGTGTCTAAAATAAATATTGTTCAGTTAAGGTGTCTAACTGAAACATTATACCAATTTTAGGGGGCTACCGATAGGTTAAGGTGTCTAATTGAAACATTATGTCAATTTTAGGGGGCTACCGATAGGTTAAGGCTTAGTTGTAGCAATGTGACCTTTGACTATGGGATTATGTATAGCTTATGTACCTAAGAGGTTATTGAGAAACGTGGAAGCCTACGGAATTATATTAAGGCTTATTCATTTATGTGCCACTTGATTGCTTAAGAGGGCAATATATTGATGCCCACAGGACTATGTTGATACCTAAGAAGGATATGTGATGTCTGCGGGGTTATATTGATGCCTATGAGGTTATATTGATGCCTAATAGGCAGAGGCGAATCCAGGATTTTAAGAAAACGGGTGCACCATTACTTTAAAGATAAGATCAAAAAATTTATAATAACAATAACTAAGCGAGCAATCCATAAAAATTACTTGGAACTTGGAACTTGAAAAGTGAGTGGGAAGAAACTTTTGAAGTCTTTGACTTTTAGAAGAATTTAGCTTCTTCTTTTTTTAAATGAAAAATGTGTTTTTAGTTAATAAAAATAAATTGAAGCGAATTGGGGTTGCCTAGGATCGAACCTGCGACCTTTGTGTTGATATCTTGCAGTTGTACCAGTGAACCATCCAGCCATTTTGAGAACGGGTTCAACAAGTTTTAATTTAATATATTCTTTAATAATTATAGAAGTAATATATCGAGTTTAGTCGAATGACCACGGGTTCGGATGACCCAAAATATATACATAAAATCGCCCCTGCTAATAGGGTTATATGAAACGGACGAGGCTATATTGATGCTTAAGAGTGCTATAGGATGCCTATAGAGCTATTAAAATGTATTGATTGCCTTCGGGGTGATATATAGAGTACCTAAAGGGATATTTAGATGTTATGACTGCCTACGAGACTAGAGGACTAGCGATAGGAGTATATCGACTAAATTGGCACCTTCTCGACTTATGGCTAGTCGGATAGGTGGTCTTGTTTGCTATTTGCACCTACCGAGCTAATGGGGGCTTCATTAGGTTATTTTTTTAAAAAATATTTTGGCATGCTTAGATTCAGGAGAAAGTCAGTACGCTCATCTTATTTTTGACTTTATTACTAAATTACTTTCAGAATACTATAATACCTGCTCAATTATTTATGGTCTTTCATATTCAGCATATTATTTAGCGCATTCTTATAACCTACAGGTCCTGAAAGACAAGTATACCGGTCTCTTCAATAGTGTAGTATATTTTCAACAAATTAGTCAGCTCCCTTTTTTTCCGAAGTTCTCAGATCTAGAGATTTGATAGTGTTTGTCATGTTTAGTTGATAGGTAGGTTGGGACCCTGTCCCGACATAATATATTACTTTTAGAGGTTTGCAAATTTTTAATTGTATAGATATGTATTGTTGGTTATGTTGGCCTTATTATTTTTTCCTTTTAGCACAATGGTTTGTTGGCCTTAATTGTACATAATTATATGTGTTCAGTTTATATGTTTCTAGACATTATGACGGTCTCGACGACTTGCACAATGTTACTTAATTATAGATATCACGATGATCGTGACGATGTAGAATTTAGTTTCTATTCTATGTGATTTGTTGAAATTAATTGAGTTGACTGTAGATTTTGTGGACAGGAACCTTGCCAGCTGAAAGCTTAATTTTAAGTCGGGATATACTTATCTGTTTTCTTGATTTTACAGCTGGTATTACGTTGGTAGCGTGATTCTCCGGTAAGAGTCGACATAGGGTCAAGTGTGGCACTAGGTGCCAGTTGCATCCCTAAGTTGGGTGTGACAATTGAAACCTGTTAAGCGATGGTCAAATAAGAAAAATAAACACACTTAATGATTAAGATTACAATATTTAAGATTCAGACTTTGAAAACTAATAAATTTAATAATTAAGATTAAAACATTCATTAAGTACAAACAAATAAAGTTTTAAACATCTCTATTTCACTCAGTTTGTGGCTAAGGTGTGCATGGATGTTATTGTTTTGCTACATTTCCTACATGATATCATTACAAGTGAATGAAACACAATATTCTTAGTCTTTTTACGAGAGTTACCCATGTTTTAGTTGGTAGTCTTATTTGTCTATAGTTGCATATTTGAAAGGGCACATATGCAGAGGAAGAAGTCTTTCATAGAGAGTCTTCTAAGGAGTAGTCTTTATAGCAAAGTAATTTTAAAATTATCACCACTGCTCAATAATTATGACTTGTAACACTTTTTCTTAATTTTGAATCCTTTTTACCCCCCTTAATTACTTTTTCTAGTAAGATACTGAACTATCCATAAAATGTTACATGGTAAGAGATCGTTTGGTAATTAAGTGTATAAAAATAGTGTTGAACATAATGTATTAATAATAATGACATTAATATTGTTGATACTAATTATACTCGCATTAACTATGTCCAAATTATTTCTTATGCAATGTTTATTTCGATATATTAAAAATAACATGCATTGCATAATTTCTAAAATAAATTATTTATTTATAAAAATATCCTCCATAAATATGGTGGAACGAATGTTGAAAACGTTTTGAAGAACAATTGTATCTTTAACCATGGAAATGCATGTCATTAAATCGTTATGCATTACTAATACCATAAATTTACATGTATTAGTTAACATGCCTTCATACCAAAAAGAAAGTATATCAAATAAAATATTAATAATACTCAAAGCTAATGCATGCATTATTTTTTCTAATGCCCTGTAACATTCCGAAAATTTTCAAGTTAAAACTCGAGTCATTCTTCATTTGTGAATAAGATTTTATTGAGTGATTCTAAATTTTTTTAGTGTTTAGGTCACTAGATGTAACATCTCAGATTTCAAAAAAAAAAAAAAACTGAAGAGAATTTCGTTCAAGTCACCCATCAGTTTTTAACTTTGGGTCAACTTCAATTGACCATATCTTTTAGCACATAAGGAGTTATGTGGCCCATGACTTACCAAATGGAAGGTCTTTAAGTCCTCTTTCCAATGCCGACAATTTTGCTAAATTTCGAGCTCAGAGTAAAAAGTTATGCCCATTTGAGTAAAGCCTTTCTATTTAAGGCATTTCATCCGTTTTAGAAAAGGATATTTTGGTCTTTTCCTTCTCCTACTAAGCCTAGCAACATTTTCCTCACCCAAATAAGGGTCTAATCAGACGCTAAGTTACTTTTTCATGTTCCTAAACACTTAGAAAAAATAGAGAAGAGTTCAAGTAGAGAAAATCTAGGTTTTCAAGCTTCCTTCAAGAATTGTTGATTTTCGCCAAGAACATTGTTCTTTCCAGGTATGTAAGTCTTCTCACAGTGTTGGACTTGTTCGTTCTCACGTCATACATCTAATTCATCCATGAATTCGTTCATGAAATTGTTATATTAAGAGATTCTTGAGTAGTTCTTGATTTTAGGTTCATTCTTTAACAATGGAGGTTTTGAGTTTCTTGGGTTGAGGATCTTGAGTGTGAGTTGTGATTCTTGAAAGCGATTGTATGGAATTCTTCATGTATTTGTGTTGGGGTTTGAGAATCAAGAAGAGTTTAGGAGAAATTCCCCAATTCTAAGCTAGTTTGAAGCTTGAATTTTATCAAAAAAAATCGTTGAAGTCGCTGGGGAAGGGTTGGGGAGACGCGCCACCAGTACGCCCAAATCCAGCCCCAGTACTTTGGGGTCTGGCGCGGCGCGCCAACAGTACATGAGGAATGCTAGGGAGACGCGCCACTGATACACCAAGATCAGCTGGTCATTTTTTCTTCCGTGTTTTTTTTTCCGAACGTGTTCCATTGAATCGTGACTACGTTCTCTTCTTTGTATTAGCTCCTAAAGTCTCCATTAACCCTTGAGAGTTCCTACATGTTCTAATCACATGTCTTAATTTTCATTCAAAACTAAAGTCAGTTTAAGAGAAAAGTTCAAGAGCTTTTATTGAGTTCTGAGTACTGAGTTTCTATATTGTTATTGAGGTCCTTGAGTTGATTCGTTCATGTTCATATTTTCGCATGAACCCTATGAATTGAGTATTCTTGAGATGAGTAGTATCGTTGAGTTCTGAGTATAAAGTTTTCTATATTGTTATTGAGATCCTTTGGTTGATTCGTTCGTGTCAATATTTCAGCATGAACCCTATTTTGAGAATCTTTTAAAGCCAGCGATTGTGTTTTAAACAGAGTTTTTGATGAAGTAAAGAGGAGTTTGAGAAAGAGTATAAGGGAAATAAGTATTTTCCAAGTGTTTCATTTTTCCATGAAGAAAGAGAGTATTTTCTTGAGCAAGGAGAAACTTTGATTTCTAAACGAGTTTATGAGTTCAGAGATATTTCAGAGAAGTTACCTCTTTTATGAGGATAGTTTGAGCAATTATCTCAAAGTAGAGAAAGAATATGTTTTATACATTTGAACATGAGTATATATATCATTGGGAGTAGTATTGAGCACCGATATAGGGATGAGTTCAGACAACTCAAAATCCTCATAAATTATATATGTCAACATGTGTAAAAGATCATACTTTTTAGATGACTCCCTATTGCTTTCGAGCATAGCTTAGTGGATCCACTTAGTTGAGGTGGTCTATACTCCGACAAGGTATATGACAGTTCTGGCAGCGTGGACGAGATGTTATATCATCACTTAGCTCATAGTGATGGTTGTCAGTTAGAGAATTTCCCAAATAGAGTTAAAAGTGTATTTTTATTATATCAGTTAATATGTTGAGTTCAGAAATGAGCAAGTATTTTTGTTAAGTTTTAAATGCTTTCATTCCCTTAATCCTTTACATTCAGTTGAATTTATGTTTTATCTATTGTAGTCTTATTTGTTCAATTATTTGTTATTCAGCTATATTACATACTCGTATATTCAATGTAGTGATGTCATTCGACCTGCATCTTTTAATGATGCAGATACATGTTCTTAAGATCCTCAGCAAGAGCCTGTTGAGATCATTTCGTCAGCTAATGAGTAAGACCTCCTTGCTTCTGAGGACTCCAGTTTTTATGAGTTGTTACTAGTAATTTTCTTGAGGAGTCGCGGGTCTTGTCCCGACACTCATCTTTGTATACAGTAGAGATTTCATAGATAGACAGTTTTGGAGAATCTTTCAGTTTCAGATGTATTATTTAAAACTTATGTTTCATACTCAATATATTCAGCGAAGTTTTGAGATTCAGTAACCTGTTTTTAAACGTTTCTTTCAATTTGATGTTTATGTATGCTTGAGTTAGTCTTCCGCTTGTAGTCAGGATGAGGGTTCGCTTGGGGGCCAGCAACGATTCTCGAGTGACGGCCACGCCCAAGGAATAGGCTTGGGCCGTGACTTGCCCTCTACCAAACGACCCCTAAATAAAATAAAATAAAATAAGGTGAATGGTGATAACCAAAATAACATGTTGAATTCCATGGCAAAATATGTAGAGTTGCTCCAATCAACCACGCCTAAAAATAGGCAGTAATTGCAAACTCCACCATCAATACCCTTTTCTGGTCCCGATTGATAACGCCATCAGCGTTACATAAATATACAAAATCATACAAGCCAGAAAAAATAATAAAGAGTTCTCAACTTGGATCGGACAATCTTTTATTGTTCTAAAGCCGAATTAACCTGTAATAAAAAGCTTACAGTTACCAATCTAAACTTGCATCCCAAATGGGATTAGGAGAGTCCAAAGATGACAGAGTTGACCAAAATACAAGAACAAGAAAAGCAGCATTAGTACTCTCCAAGAATTCAAAAACTAGAGGTGTAAGCTATTTCAGTTGATACCACGGAATGATGGCAAGACAGCAATAAGTGGATCACCATAACCAACAGCTTCTGCAAAACACCATGGAGTGAATAGTGAGTTAAGGTTTTCAAAAAAAAAAAAAAACATTAGAGCACAAGTAGATACCATTAGAAAATTTAAAATACATGCAGAGACCCACATCAAATAAGTTAAATGGTTTTGGAAGACAAAAGATTCGTCAAATGCATATGCCAATAATACTGAGTGAATGGCAAACAACCATGTGTGCTCGGTTGAAAAGCATCATCATAATGTGCAAAATGGGTAAAACTCACTCAGGCATCAATTAAGATCTCAGGCAAATACAAATGCAGCACCTATATATTAGGAGATTAGCGCAACATTTACAAGTATGCCAGGTGATTGTATTTCACTGCAAATTTTGTGGTTTTCTCATATGCACTGTAATTGTTAATTTAGCGTGAAATTGCAGTTGCGACAACTTGATGAGTAAAATAAGGTGGAGAAAGAAAAAATGTTGAAAGACCCATACCGCCATCATTAAAGAGGATTTTCAAGACTTCTCCAGCCGCATCTGACTGCTCAACAAATAAAAAAATAAGAAAGTAAAAGAAAAAGGTCAGCAAATATTACCCTGAAAGCAGATAATTTAACAAAAAAATTGCCTTAAAAAGGCTTACCCTGACAGGAAGTTCTGTCCCAAACTGATCCAAAAAGCCAATAATCTGTCCCTCCTTGATAATATCACCCTGCACACAACCACACATGCATGATTCAAGCGCTAAGCTAAAAAGCCTCTGTCAGGTTTAATCCTGGTATGTGAGCATCAGATTGAAGACAAAAGCATATGTCAAAGGTCTACTACTGAGTTCCAAGATCTAGTAAACCACTGGAGCTCAATCCTTAAGATCTTTAAGCATAGAAATGATGATGCTCACGAGGTATACACAAGCTAGATGTCCTTGGCTCATCCCTTCTAATATCTAGACATGATAGTTATCCAGCATAACAAAATGTACTCTTTTGAAGAACTAAACGTACAACCATCTAGTAGGTCAAAAGATACAATAGGAAACTAATCTAATTTTAGGAGAAAAAAGTTGGTGATTATCTCTATAATATGAAAGCCTTCGAAAAGAATAAAGTTCAGAACATAATCCAGAGGGTTGGATTTATGATGGGTTACCTCTTTACATGCAGGAGGTTGTTTCTTTCCCTTTAATGTCCTGGCCCTTCGGAATGAACCAACCTGTCGGAAAAAAGTGGAAGCCGTTGCTGACATAGTACATGATACATGCTAAAAGGGTTTAACAGGTCAAGTAATACATACCGTGGGGCATGATACAAGAACATAACCACTAGCTCCAGTAGACTCTAGAGCTGCTAATTTTGCTGATTTTTCAGCAGCAACATTTGTGAATGGGCTGATCTTTCCTGAGGATGATTTCCCTGGGGATGCTGCAGGAGCAGCAGCTGTTGATGAAATGGATGTTTTGCTTGCACTAGGTGGTGGTGGTGGTGGTGCGGAAACAACAGGCGCAGGCACTACTGGAGCTTCAATGTTCCGTTTCAGGTGCAGTTCAAAATCTCCAACCTATGATAAATGCCACAATATCCAATCACACATCAGTAGAAATCATAAAACCTTTTCTTTCAGACCATATCAGAAGATAATTTTTCTGAAATAACTTTTAGAATTATATTTCAACAAAAAAGAATATATAAATATTTACGACAGAAACCGACAAAAGTGATTATCTACACTGGCAATGTGTCATGTCGAAACCAACATGGAGTTTGTCTGAAAATCTGAAAATTGACTATCATAATCATTCCACAGCTTTTGGTGACAACTACAAACCTATGTGGACGATAATTGCTACAGTTCCAGTATGACAGTAGTACTGTAGGAGCAGCTTTCAACTCTTCATGCAGAAATGTTTCAACATTATATTTTTTCTCATTGCAGTATTATATAAGAACAAGCTTGGTGGCACAGAATTGCTGAATCCTGCAAAACTCCCGGCATCAATATGAACCTTTATTCCTTCTTTTCTTCCACTGTGTATCGATACTATATATGAAATTCTGATTCCTATGGTGTCAATGCTAGGAAGTATGGAGGTCGCGTTTTGGGTAGAAGGTTAGTAGGTAGTGGAGAGTTGTCTTGTTGTTTGAAGGTTTAGGCTTGTTAGAGTGTGTAGTACTAGTCGTATTCCAGTAGTTCTTGCTTTTGATATCTATCAACATATGTAATTTATTGTGTTTCGATTATCACATTATTTTGTTGTTGCTATTGTTCCTTTCTTGTAGGCTCTGCAATGCTTTTCTTATTAGTTGCTACAATGATTGCTTCATTGTTTTCTTCTTCTTTTACTTGGATTTGTTGCACATGAACCGAGGGTGTTTCGAAACAGCCTCTCTACCTCCACAAGGTAGTGGTAAGGTCTGCGTACACTCTCCCCTCCCCAAACCCCACTTGTGGGATTCTACTAGGTATGTTGAGTTGTATGGCATCAATGCTTGAATTTACCCAATTATTACCAAATATACCATCACACTTTTCAGATCAAAATGGGTAGTTCTGAAATAGCAAATTTTACCATCTCAAGATATTCCATACTTGTTTTAACAATCATAATACATTTTTACAACTTTTATTTAAACTCATATTTTTTTATCGTTAAAAAGGTTTTGTATTAAAGGTCCAGCAACCAGAAGGTGATGTGGGGAGTTTACAAGGGTTAGCTCCATTACATATTGTGTAATGAGCTCAAAAAATCTATCATGGCCTCTATATCATTTGCAATTTGCCATGTTACACCAAAAAAAATAACAGTTGGGATAAACATTTGTACTTCTTAGTACTAACTACAGACTGTAAAGAGCAAACTCACACCTATTGGTTGTACTCTCCACCGTTACCACTAGGCTATAAGTTTTGGTACTGGTTAACTAGTAAAATAAGTAATTATGTAAATTGCAACCAAGCTGAGGTTTGATTAGTGACTAATAAAATCATTTTAACACATGCTAATAGGTAGTTCAGGTCATGTGACAGTGGTAGAGCTATAATGCATACTCAGTGGCTCTGGAATTTCAGAGGATTTGAAGATAAAACATGCTTCAACCTTCTCCTTTGGTTAAATCCAACTTCCTCAGACTTTTAGTCTTATATTCCCGCTATAGTATAGTTCCATATTCTATTTCAGAATCTCCCCAACAAATAAAAAGGCCGAGTGATTATGCACTATACATGAAAGGATGCACCAGCAGACAAAGAAATGCTTACCTTAAGTTTCAGCTCAGCTACCTCTGTATCATCACACACCTCGATGATCAGAGCCTGGTAAAAATCAGTAGAACAAACAAACAATCATGTTTAAAGTCACAGCAAGCAAAGTACTAGTCTAAAAATCTGTCGAAGAAAGGAAAGCAGTATTAAAAAAGCATCATTACGACATTTGCCTACTGAAGACTAGAAGACATGATTTTGACTAGGTTGCCAGAATTAAGTAAAATGACACTGTGACTATGGGTTCGCCACAAACATGAGCAGTATTTTTAAATCAATACAGAAAATGAGAATTAATTACCTAATCACAAGTTCAAAATTATACCCGATAAAGACTGGCCGAAGTTGCAAGATTTCTTGGTTTCAACATAGTTCAATTTGCATTTGCTTGAAAATGGTGATAAAAGAAAATCCATAGAATTCATGCTTTAATACAGAAGGACCAATTAAGCCAAAAATTTATCAAGCATATGATGATAAATAATCAACACAAGGTACTTACAGCACCCATAAAAAAAGGAAAAAGAAAAAAAAGGCAGTAAAAACATTCTAACTTCCAAAGAGGTAAACCAACCTCAAAACCCTTTGGAAATGTTGCTGTTGGCAGTGGACTACTCTCTGTTGGAACTTTTTGATTGCTATCTGCAAGAAATGCCCATTCAGATTAAAAAAGTTAGATGTGACAGAAGACTACTTTCCACTCTTAATCAGATAAATGCCAAAATGATAAGCTTTAGATTCCAATAGAAGATATGCATGCTGCTGAGAATGAATTATAGGGTGATTGCAAGCACAACGGTATGGTAGATATCAAAAAGTACTAGCACATCAAATAAACCAAGAAATGAGATGTACATTCAATATAATAGCCAAATGGAAATGAGAAAAGATTAGCCCCTAACTACTGATTTACACCTGGTGCAACAACAAAGCAACTCACCACCAGATTTCGCTGTCACAGTTGTTTCAGATGTCTTTGCACATGACAGTGTCAATCTACCGTGCTTGTTAGGAGAAGACATGAGCCTTGCGCCATTTGAGGAGCCCTTTAGGGACAACTTAGTAGGCTTGGAGAAGGCAATGCTATTTGTTGGAATAACGCCAGGCATTTCAATTACTGACCTCACATGGGAAGTGGTACCAACTGAATCTATCAGAAACAATAAAGTAGGATAACAGAAAGATTGATTAGAGTCATTGGAAGATATCCCACATGAAACAGATAGCTAGAGAAGAACTATTAGCAATTATTTATGCAAGAAAACAGGTTGGCACCAGTAAGATAATTGAAAAACTGGATGCAGTGAATGCCAAAAGATTGATTCTTAGTTTATCCAAATGAATCATTCTTCTGGTCTCTAAAATTATATTGGACCTTCTTTTCGTTCAAACAGAAGGAGATTCGTTAATCAACATCAGTTTATACTCATTAATTAGGATTCTACCTCATGTTTTTCTGACTCAATTTTACACAAGTCCCTATAATCAGCAGAACTGAAAGTAAATTGTACGAAAAGACCTTACAGCTTCATCAATCCAGAACCACTAGTTTGAAGTTCCTTTTAGAGTCTCGACTAAGCTAACACATATTTTTAGCCACAAAAACTAATACTAGCAGTCGCAGAGAAGAAAACAGAGAGATATCCGCAAGCTTTAAAAGCTCACTTCAATATAAATAACTAAAATTCATACGCGTGCAATCTCATATTTATGCATTTACACCAATGTCGGATCTGAGATGAAAATAAGAAAGTAAAGCAGATCGCTATCATTTCTTGCCAATGAGGAATCTAATCTAAGAACATAATCTCGATATCCTTCATGATAACGACTATTACAGAAGTACACAGATTAAAATACAAAACAATTCAATTAGAGCCTGAAAATGTATATCTAGAAAACAAAGATAGGAAGAGAAGATTACGGTGGAAGGAGCGGAGAACGGCGGCGGACTCCATGAGCTCTGATCGGAGAAACCGAGGCAAACGAAGAAGAAATCGGAGAGATATGAGAGAGAGAAAAATGGGAAGGAGGAATTTATAGCAAATGGAAAATGTGTGAGCTTAGTAGAGAGGTGAGTTTTATTACTGTACTATCTTCATTGAGATGTCCGCCCATGAACTTCTATTTCTCCACCCACTTTCCGACTCTATGCTTTACACTGCAATTAGTTGCACGAAAACTCGTTAGTATTATTTTATTTTTAGAAATAATTATTAATCTATGTGACTAATGTCATATATTTATATATAAGTGAAAATTATTTCTCTCCTATTTTACGTAAAAAGAATTGTATTTTCCCTTTCAACCGCGGATGAAGTTTGGGGCGTGTAAAAATTGATTTAATCCATTAAATTGAAAAAAAATATATTATTGATTTATCATATCAAGTTATGGGTTATCAATTGGATTATTGATTTTATAATTGTGGTTAATGGTTAATCGATAATCCAATAAGATTGTATTAAAATTACTATTTTACTCGTAATTATGTAATAGTACATTTTACCAACATTATTTTCTAAATTTTACTATTACTTTCAATCGTATTCACACAAACTAGTCTTTTTGCCTCTCTATTGCGATACCTTCTCTCTTCTCAATTTTAGATTTGATTGTAACATAGACTAATAAATAATATTGTTTCCACAATTTATTGCATGAGTCTTTAGTGAAGAAACCTGAACCACCTAACAAATACAAGAACCTGGTTCTTGTAATACTAGTAGAAGACTATATAACAGAAACAATAAGGAAATTTAACGTGGAAAGCCTCCTTACTCAAGGGAAGAAAAATCAGGACCTACAACTGATTGAATTTCAACAATTTCTCACTAAAACTTCAAAGAACAATTTTAGATTACAACTCTATAATCTAAGGGACTAACTCCAGTACCTCAATTCAACCGATTAACTATAAATGTTGTCTCTACTTTCTAAGAAGTCAAACTCACTTCTTATTACAATTCTCACAAACTTACTTTCAAAATTAGTATAATTATCACTAAACAATGACTCTAAGTTGAATTGACAATCTACTAACTTCAAAAAGAAGACTCAACTCTAGTTCTTCTTTCTTTTGCAGTTCTGCTCTCTCTACGTCATTGCATGCTCTTGCTAGGAATCACGTATTATGAATGCAAAAGTCACCTTTCTCATTGAGCCAATTATCCTTTTATAGGAGTGCATAAAACCCTAGTTGATTCTTATAAGAAATGTAATAATCATCTAGGTTAGTTTCTCCTTTATTAAAACTTTCTAGTTCACTGTCACGCCCCGAACCTACACCCTGGATGTGGTCGGCACTCGAAAACCATTGTTGGCCCCAAGCAAACCCTTGGCCTGACTCAACTCTCAGCCGAAGACTTTCTCAATAAAAGATAAACTCGAAAGTAGAACTTTACTCAAAATCTCAAAACTCAGAATATTTTAAATAAAACATTCACTGGCCAAATGAGGCAACTCAAGTCTAAAATATTAACAACTGAAAATGAAAAAAACTCATAAACTACTATTGTCTATCTATGAAGCCTCTAATACTATGAGGGATGTTGGGACAAGACCTCCGATCATCCTAACAAAACTGATAACATGACAGAAATAAATGAGGGATCTTCCGAAAGCAAGGAAGCTCACCAAAGCTAACTCGAACTGTTATGGTATCAACGAAGCACCTGTTGATGACCTTGATCTCCTATATCTGCATCATGAAACGATGCAGGCCAAATGGCATCAGTACATTGAATGCGCGAGCATGTAAGGGGAATACTGAACATAACATAAAAGCTTGAATTGGAACTGAAGAAAACATACTTACCTCATCTCAACTCAAAGGTACTCAAACTCACAAATACTCAACTTAGTTCAATATAAAAGCAACAATAGAGATGCATTATAAAGAAAGCTCTTAAAACGATAGTTAACAACTCAATGTATTTAAAAATACAACATAACTCAGTTTGTATATAAAGATACAAAATAACTCTACTCAGGAGATTTTCTAACTGACAACCATCACTTTGAGCTATGTGATAATACAACATCTCGCCCACGCTACCAGAACTGTCATATACCTTGCCAGAGTATAAGACATCCTCAACTAAGTGGATCCACTAAGCTATGCTTAAAAATCAACAAGGAATCATCTAAAAAGTATGACCCTTTCTAACCACGTTAGCTACACGGTTTATGAGGACTTTGAGTTGTATGAACTCGTCCCTATATCGGTGCTCAGTACTATTCCCAAAATATACTCAGCTCATATGTTTAAAAACGTTTCTTCATCCTCAAATTTTGAGATTACTACTCAAAAGACTCTTAAAAGAGATAGTACTCAAAACTCCTCATGAACTCATTTGGAAATCGATGTTTCCTCTCTTTTAAAATGTGAAAAAAATTACTCTTGGGAATACTTAGTTCCCATATATTCATTTTAAAAAATGAAACTCAACTCTCATAATTCTCAAACTCAAGTACCCAAGTCTTAAAACAAGTTTTAAAAGATTATAAAAGACTCATCAAAATAACTAGGAAGAACTCTCAAGACTCTACTCTTAACTCTACCTTGAATTTGAATTATGAATTCAAGGATTATGATTCATGTTACGAAGGATTTCTCGATGTTTAGATGTAGTTTAGAGTAGTTAGAATCGGAAAGGAGTAAAGGTACACCTTAAAAGAACTCAGACGGGTCAAACGACAGAAATATGACAGGGGCAGGTGACCCTGGCGCACTGAGTGGCGCGAGGAGCCAGCCCCTAAACTACAGAAGATGGTTTGGGGCGCACTGAGTGGTGCGGCGCCCCACCCCCTGCCCAGATTTCTGACGAGTTTCTTGCTTCAATTTCGTGTCTAACTCTTCTAGAATCGAATGATTTCCCTCAAACTCTTTTGGATTCTTAGACCCAACATAATTACAACAAAATCCTCTCTAAATCACTCAAGAACAATATTCAAACTCAAGAGCCTCATCGCAAGAACTCAACGAAACCTCATACTTAAAGAATAAATCACAAACTTCAAGAAACTCATCAAGGATTCATTAAGACCTTACATATACTCAATCTTGTGGATGAAATTCAAAAAAAAAGAATTCATTATTAGCGTGTGGGTGAACAAACCTATCACTATGAAAACTTACATATCTCGATTTGGTGTAATTCCTCGACAAATCTCACGAATCTTGACGAACGCTTGGAACCTTTCCTCTTTCTCTTCTTGAACTCTCTTCTAAAACCCTAAGCGTATTTAGGATTATGAAAACTGACCCAAATGAGTTTAGACCCCTAAATTATTACTAAAAATATTTTAAGCTGAAGAGGTAAGGAAAAGACCAAAATACCCCTCTAAGATGATTTCAGAAATTAGAAACTTATTCCTTTTTTGTTTGGTGGTAGCTTAAATTAAGCTATACATTACCCGAGAAGAACGGTTTGGGTGCACCCAAACCGCTCTTCAACCACTTACGGCAGAATTTCCAAATCTATTTAGTATGGAGATGTTGGCACAAGATGGTAACTCTCATTATATATCAATCTTTTGCTCTGGCTACTATTGAATTGACTACATTGTAATTTCGGGTAACTTTTCTTAACTGGACAGGCTGACTTCAAACGGGCATATTTTCCTCATCTGAACTTAAAATTTAGCAAACTCCATGACGTTGGAAAGAAGATTCCAAGACCTTTCATTTGATATCTTAAGGGACACCTAACTCATCTTGTGCTGAAAGTTATGGTCGTTTGAAGTTGACCCAAAACTCACAACTTAAGCATAACTTGCAAAATTCTCAATTTGGCTCTTTCCAAATTAGTTTTATTCTAAATTTAACTCTTTCTAATAGCGCGGTGTTACAATATCTCTCCCTTGGGAACATTCATCCTCGAATGAGATCACTCTAAGTAGACTAAGGGTGGTAACATCTAACACCCAACTCAAACACCCAACATGCATTTTGATGTTTAAATGTAAAGATAATTAAATAATCCTAATTTTAAGAAATTTGTGTATCTTTTTTAAAAATCAATTTAAAGTCACCTTTGTATTAGAACTTGAAAAAGGTTACATAGTAGTAGGAAAGCATTCCCAATCTATTTTGAGGGCTGACATGCCAGTCCCTATCGAAATTTGCAATCACAAATGTGAAGTAGTGGAAAAAGTTAAAAAAAAGTCATGAACTCTTGCTCTTTAGGGGGGGGGGGGTCAAAGACTATTTCCTTATCCTGTAAGTTTCTGATTCTTATTGATGTCATTTCCATGTTATCCAGCTGAAGCAAGCCTCTCACTAATCTTGGTAGACTCTCAAAGCTTGTGTAGACTATGCACTTTTGATGATTATGACTAATCGATGCTAGCTTGCCTGCCACTCTATTTTCCTCTTTATAACAATGTTGTATTGTTATTCATCTTCTTTTGATCTCTTTTTTTTATCGCTTTTACCTTTGTCTGCATATTCCATGGTGTGCTTGTTTACCCTGTCATACTTGTTACCAGTAGCATAGAGGCAACCTCCGTTATTTCATTTTGCAAGCCCTCCACTCCCCCTAGATCCAGGCCATATTAAAGTGCTCAACATAATGTCTAATTATTTGTCCACCCCCCCCCCAAGATATATCAAGAAGGCGAATAGAATCTTACTCTCAGCGTTTCTGATGACTCCGCCCACACATCCCTTCTCTATAGCTTTCATCTATGTTGATTTTGTAAGAATGATCTGGTGGCTTGTACCATTTAACTATTTTTGTTGTTGTGTGTACCATAGGCTTGTCAATAACGGCGTGTAAAAATTCCCATGAGTCTTGCAATTTGATTTTTCCAAACTTTTGTTCTGTGAGGCCAATCAGATCATGCGTTATTTCTCTTTTGGACTTATATATTGACAACTTCTCTGAACCATATCTTGTCACACAATTGGATCTCCACAGTTCTCACATCACAAGGATAGGTATGATCTTTATCATAAAGGATGATACTATTCCACATTTTATGTGTCCACTATTTGATCAACATTTGTATAAGATTTAGTCCTCTTATTTGAACTCCAAATAGACCTGCAAATTTACTCCATATGTCTTTGGCAAAATTCCCAGAACAAAAGAGATGTTCATTAGATTCTAGTTTCAAAACTGGTGGTGTGCAACAGTGACACTTTGCCTCTAGATTTCTACAAAATCTGCCAGTCTTGATAT